GAGAGAGAGAGAGAGAGAGAGAGAGAGAGAGAGAGAGAGAGAGAGAGAGAGAGAGAGAGAGAGAGAGGCCAATCCGGACCAAACAGAGATTGCGAGAGAGAGAGAGAGATAGAGACAGAGACAGAGAGAGAGAGTGGTCTATTCTTATTAACAATGGTCTCGTTTCTGCACCGCCCACCTCGCAAGTTACGCAGGGGCTGGCAGTGCTGCACTGCGGGCCAAGCATTGGCGAACTGCGAGCAGCTGCACTTTTTTGGGTTTTTTGGTTGATGCCACCAGCCATTGTGGTCCTGTAGCCCCGAGCCTCCGAAATCATAGGAGAGGCTAGGTGATGAAGAAACCTTGCAAGGCGGGGGCTATGTACTGGCGGCTCAAGGCACAAGCCTGTCCCACATCATGATGGGGCCGCGGTTCCCCCAGCCTCCCAGTTACGCTGTGACATCGCTGTCCTATTGTCAATTGACACAATAGACTGGCAGTGCCCTATATATCTTTCACGGAAAGAAAAAGGGGGCCGGTCGGCGGTCGGTCCTCACCGCCACTGTGGTTGGAACTTTTGTTGGGGCCTAAGCCACATCTAATCCCAATTCGTCCACCGGTGTCAGGGTCGGAGGTAACCCTTTTTTTTTTTTGGATGGCCATGCTCCAATCTATTCGTGGGGAGTGGCTCGTGCTGGGAACCGGGCCCAGCGTCCCAAATGAAGACATGAAAACATAGGGTTCAGCCTCCTAACGAGTCGGTGAAACTCCGACGAAACAGTTTGTCACCCCCCCCCTCGTTTGTTGTCCTCTTCTCCCCCTCCCTCTCTGCCTATGGTTTATCAGACAGCTCTGTTTGACGATATGTGAACAAATTGAGCTACTGGGGCCATTACCTGTCTTTGGCTTGAGAATATTCTACTGAGTGTTGAGAGTCTTAAACCACTAGTACCTCTGAACCTATTTTCGACAAGTTCTTGCCAGCTCTAGGGGCACGATTTCTCGAAGTAAGGCTTAGCCTTCGGCCCTTCTTTTCAAAGACACTCATAACTCGACGAGCTTAAAGGCTCCCACGGGCCGGCATTTCTCGGGTTTCTTATCAGCTCCGCCAGGCTCTCCCACTTCGTGTCCTTCGAATATCGACGAACATACGATGGGAAAAGTCGAATTTTCAGGAGGCCGAGCCCGACAACGGCTGTGGTTGATAAATCTGATCGGCGGCCGTCGTTTGGTTTCGGCCTCCTGCAAGGTTGGAGGCCGAGTATTTTCGAACCGACAAAGGTACTAGTGGTTTAAGACCAATGATGAGAAAAACCACAAATCCTTTTGTTCATATTTTCCAAAACACTCGAGTACCTAGGGGTTCCCTAACATTTCCTAACAAAACTCTCGAAAACAGACTTAGTCTCTGACAGACGCATCCAGGCCTCCCCCCCCCCAATCTGGCTTCGGCTTGAGAATATCCTGCATGATCATGAACAATCTACTGAGTGTTAAGAGTCTTAAGACCAATGATGAGAAAAACCGCAAATCCGTTTTTGCACATTTTCCAAAACACTAGAGTACCTAGGGGTTTGCTAAGATTTCCTAACAAAACTCTCCAAAACAGACTTATTCTCTGACAAAGCTCGTCCAGGCCTCGGCCCCCCCCAATCTGCTAGGTCACAGAGGAACACAGCTCACTCCAGCTTCGGCCACTGTCATTTCTGTGTCAGCAACCCCCAGCTGTCCCTTCAGATGACCCCGCGCATAGCATCTCCAGATCTCACTACAACGCCTCACACCCCCACCGTTCGCAATTTACAGGTCAGCACCCTGGCTCATGCTGTTTTGTCACTCTGGCATCGAACAGCCGCAGATCCTGAAATATGGCAGTTTAGGTCCAATGCAGCTTTGTACAATCAATCCGGCAGAAATTCTGAGAGATTCTTCAAACTACGAGGAATAACAAGGGTGCTTGTTGTGGAATTTTTTTCAGAGGAAATTCCTGAAAATCCCGACGGATTATGAGCCATCTGTGAAACCTAGTTGTTAATTGACTTGGTACTATCGAACGCACCTGCGATCCCTAGCAGTTGTCCGAATACCCAAAGACCTAAGGGTCATCTAACAGGCCCAACAAAAGCCCTACCAAATGTATCATACCCCTCTGCCCGGCTCGTCAAGGCTTCACACCCCCAAACTGTTAGGTTACAGAGCCCCACTGCTTGCCCCAGCTCCGACCACCGTCATTTTTTGACAACAACTCCCAGCTGTCCCTTAAGATGCGGACCCCAAAACATCCCCGGATCTCTTTGCCAGTTCCCTCCGCCCCCGCAAACAGCCGGTTACGGGGCGACGCGCCAGCTCCGGCCTTATCGTTCTGGCGTCGGACCGCCACAAAT